CGCTGAGCGGAGCGGGGCAGCTCGCGGGACCTGGGCGCCCCAGTGCGGGCGGGGCAGGGCTCAGCCCCCCACCCAGCTGACCCATCGCGAGGCTCCTTGTGCCAGGTTTGTGGTCGTGAGACGTCATCTCCGTGGCCACCAAAGCCCCACCATGTGGCTCTCCAGAAACCCGGGGGCCACAGGTCTGACCTGTCGAGAAAGTTCAGCATCCGCACAGAGGCCGAGGGACGTCCGTGCGCACGCGGGCGGGACACGCGGAGGCCGCGGTCATCGCGAAAGCCCGAGAGCGCCGCCTCACGCCGACGGGGTCACGGTCGCTTCCCTTCCTTCATGACGAGAAACGCCACACGGGGCTCTGTCTTTAAGTTTTGTCATTTGTGCTATGTGTGATTTTTTATAGACGTGTGTGTATCTTCAAACTGCTCTGTCAGTTGACTCTTCAGGGTAGCCTTTAAAAATCAAAACAGCCAAGTTTGCTTGTCCGGAACGACAGTCGCCACGTGAAACGCTGGCGTGCGATGGGTGGCGAGTTGAAGCGGAGAGGTGCGTTGACATCTGCATTTCCCAGAGCTCGTTTGTGCTGTGCCGCGTCGCTAAGGCCGGGGCGTATTTCTGGCCTGTTTAAGACAGGACGGCGGGAAGGTCACTTACTGTGGTTTCCGGCCGTGGACTCTAAGGAATTGGTGTTCGTGATTCCGATGGCACCAGAGAGCGAGACTCAGAAAAGGTTTTCCACGTGCATAATTCAATGTAGACACAGCGACCATCGTCCCCATCTGACCTGTGTGTCACGTTCAGACACAGCCTCAGAGGAAGAGCCTCTCAGAGCGACCCACTGGACCCAGCCTCAGCGTCCCCGGGCCTCGAGGCCAGCAGGGTCGTGGCTGCAGACGGACGCCGGCCCCAGCGCCCGGTCTTCCTTCCCGCCCTCCGGGAGCACTGCCCAGCCCCCCGCTGTGGCTCTCTGTTCCTTCCCCTGTGACTCGCACTTGGAAGCCGCCCGCTCTTCTGCACCGAGGACCGTGCCGTGCGGTCGGCGAGGCGGGCACACCTCTGCCTCTCCTCCCTCATTCTCTCCGTTCCATGAAGCATGGGGTTCATCGGAGCACAGTGGGTAGTAAAGCATGTGTAGCTTCAGAGTCTACTTTTTTAAAGCTGAGTAGTTAAGAATTCCCTATAAGAACAAAACCCTGTAAATTGAACCTCATATCCGGTATATATTTTACCAAACAGCCTTAAAATATATTTGGAAGCAAAAATCAGTACGAATGTATATCCTTGAAAAATGCAAAAAAAAAAAAATTTCCCTGAAATATTCTTCTATAAATGAATCCTATTTCCCCAGAGTATTCAAAGCATTTTTCTACCTAAATAAATACCTGAATCCTGAGCAGTACAGCAACGATGCTTCTTCCTGTATCCACTGTCCTATGTTAACAAGAAATGTATTTGCAAATATTGGCATTTCAAACAAAGTGACGCGTTGGTGAAGATGGACTGCTCTCTGCAGATAACCACAGAACGGCCGACGTCCGTCCGTCCCTTCGTGCAAGGGAGGGCATGGGACGCGCACGTGCCAGCCCACTCACGTGTGTGTACCTACTGGCAGCTGATGCGTTTTATCTCATTTTCTTGAACTTGTACAAAACATATAACAAATTATAAACTTAAACAACAGTTACCTATTTTAGATCCCAGATTCTCTGATCCTGACTTGAATGAAAGTATTCACTAGATTTGGATTAAGTTTTTTATGTTTTGTATACTCATTTTTATCTTAAAACCCCCAGAAGTCTTGGCCTAAACCATCCCAAGATGGGCAAATTGACCTACAGCTAAATTTGACAACAGTCATTGATTCGAAGTGGGGAGCGTGTAGGAACCCATTTGGTCCACCGAGTCCCAAAGCAGGTCACGTGACTGGAGCGGACGCCGCACCGGGTGGAGTGGTGCCCGCTCACGTGACGTGACCCAGCGCGCTGCGTTCAGCCCTCACGCGGTGACATTCCATCACGAATGCAGATGATAAGCCACGTTTACATATTTATATGTAAAGAAAAATAAAGCTGTTTAGAATACCTGTTAGTCAATTGAGCTGATTTATTGCAGCCGCTTCGAGCCGGTGCCGCACACCGAGCGGTGGGGCCGTCTCGCCGCGTGAAGAAGGTAGCTTTAATCCGGTCACACGGTCGAAACGGTAATGCGCAGTGAGCTGTGGACGCGACCACACAGCGCACAGGCTGCTCGCCACGTCCCCTGGGACATGGTGGCCAGTGCTGAGCTGGACTCTCGCTTCAGAAAGCTGCCCCTCTCACAGCCGCGAGCTGTCACCCTGCCGAAGGTGTCCCTTAGCTGGTGGAATCTGAACACAAGTGTAATACACAGGACGCAGAGACGGCGAATGGCACTGAGTACTGGTCTCATTTATCTCATACACTTCCGCTCACTGTCGAGTTTCACGTAGAACAGGACACCAGTGACAGCTGTCACGCTGTCTCAGCCGCTGACATGACCGTCCTGGTGTGTGGAGACTCGAGCTGCAGTGTCACGCCAGAGTCACACTTCTGCTTGAGAGGAAATGTGGCTGATGTTTGCAGCTCGAGGTCGGCTCCGAAGACCCAGCGCCGAGCAGAACAGCGTGTCATGCAGGAAAGACCACACCGCAGGTCCCCTCTTTAAAAAAGGAAATAGCCACAAATTCGATGACATGAAGTGTGGAGGGGCCCGGGCCGTGAGGAGCAGACGGCGTGGTCCCAGCGCTCATGGGGGGTGGGGGGTGCTCCAGGAGGGTCTGGGTCCTCGCCCTGTCGTTGCCTTTCTCAGTGCCTTGCTGACCCGCCACTATCTCTGCCACTTTAGCTAAAAGGCCCTGCATTGTCTGGTCACTCAGCTCCCCATGGTGTCAGCCCCCGGCCCCCAGGACAAACTCTGGATAGGAAGTGGTCAGGTCCCATTGAGGTGCCCAAACGTTGGGGGCCTCTGGGTCCCCAGCCCTCCAGTGAGGGGTGCGGGACCTGTCCTCACCGGGAGTCACCGTCCCTCTGCAGTAACGGACCCAGGCAGGCAGCCCACGCGGCCCCAGGGGTCAGAGGCCAGGGAGCATCCCCAGGGGACACTGCCAGGTGTGGTGCTTTCGCCTAGGAGTGCCACCGTCCTCGCTCAGAGTCCTGACAGGCCCCAGGACCTTCTAAAGGCAGGAGGCCTCGCATGCCATGTGTGCAGGTCCCAGGCTGGCCAGAGCCACAGGTGACACGGTTCGTGAGTGGGGACCCCTGCGAGTCTGGGGGTTTGGCCCTTGGAGTCCCAACTTGGCCACCGATGAGCTTCTCGAGGAGCTGGAGATGGAGGAACACTGCAGGGGCCATTCTCCGCTTCTTCTGACCTTGAGTCCACGTGTTTCTAGAAGCTTCCATCAGCAAGCAGCAGGCACCACCAAGTCAGGCGGAGTTTTCGCCACCGCGTTGGCTCAGCCATGTCTCAGGGGAGATGGAGAGATGTCAAGCTAAACATCAACGTGCCCAGGAGAATCCTGCTCGGCGGCCGGAAGCTGGGCGCGGGGTGCATCCGCCCTCTGACCTCTGACCGCAGCCCACTCGCCCGCCTCTTCCCCCGGATGCCAGGGTCTCCACGGGGCTCCCGGAACGGCGTGCGCCCCGCTG